TTACTCATCCAACGAGGGATCGCCTAAGTAAGTAGTATGTGCCTGGATGCAGACCCTAAGAGTGCAACAGAAGAAAACCAAACTCACCTGAATGAAAGGACCAAAGAAAGGAATTTTCTTTTTAAATAACTGAAATAATTCAACACTACTTTTTGCTCATATACCGTTAGTAAATGTCAATAGTAATTTTGTTCTTTACCAAAGGTGGGGCGGGTTTTTAGAAGGCCACCATAGAGAGGCATTTAATTGTGTTGGATTGTTGGTCTAACCGCCTGCAACATTATTTTATCCAGTGCTGACTTCTGAAAATATATTCCAGTATAATAAATTGAATATTTCAAGTTCAATAACAACACAACAACATAGGTAGGGTCCCCTTCAGGACTCATTGGAGCCTTACTCGGGAGACCTAAATCACTCGCACCTTCTTGAGTTATATAGGCCTTTTACACTTGGGAAAGAAAGATAATAATCGCTTATCATGGATGAAGTACCCTATTTATAATACACAGACCGCCTTGCCTGACAGTTTCATATTACAGTGGCATAAGAAGGACCCCACAGGGACACAGTCCAGTTACTGCAAACGGGTGTCACTATAATAATTAAGCACCACTGTTAGCACACACAAAGGAAAGTGAGTTCTAGCCAATGAGGGAAAAAGAGAATAAATGTTAATTTTCCAGTAGCCAGTTTTATCAAATATGAACACTTGTTTATGCTCCTCAGCTCTCTCATTACTTAGCCATTCCTTATTTGGGCAGCTGTGCAGTACAGAGATGTCTTGAATATGTTACTCAAAGCATAGCATGCAAGAAATTATTTGGGAGATGAAAGCTAAGGTTATTAAAATATAGGCTACATTCACAGTTCACTAGAAAAATATAGAGAGAAAAATACGTGGAATCTGAGATAGGTAAATGTGGATGATCTGATCAGATTTTCAAATTTTAATTCCATTACTTCAGAACAAAATAAATAATACAAAAATAATCTCATGTACAGAAGTTTTTCAAATCAATTCCCCATCTCCCTCCTCCCAGCAGTCTTCACAAATCATGAGACTCTCCAGAAGGTTGCTGGATCCCCCCTCCCCCCCCAAGGCGAGGATAAGGTAGGTGTTTGTGTTGTGGCTGAAGACAGTTGGCAATCATTGCTGGCCCTTTTAATAGGCCTTAACTTGAGTCTACACTGACCATACATGAAATGCAGTTTCAAACAGTGTAGATGGGGCCTTAAGCAGCTTCCCTTGGATTAATCTAGATCAGTCCATGTGTAGTGTGTAGTCACCATGAGGTTGACTGCATCACCTGCCAACTTAAGCAGTCAGTATTGATGTGCCCAGAGTTTAAAAATAAATGCATAAATAAATATATTTAGAACCTTAACAGTGATTGCTCCTAAAATACGGGAGGTTCCATTGTCCTCTTCTTTGCTGTCATTCTGCTATCTGACAAATACATTTTTATTTCTAGATGGTGTGGGAAATCTAAAGCCATTTCAGATGAGAAAAAAATAATCCCCAGTGTTCTTTGTTCCAGCATAGATTTTATTGTGGACATCCACATGACGTTTTGTTCATCCTAAAGTTTTTCCTGTGAACTCCTAGCAATAGCAAGCACTTTTCTTTCCCATGCTCCTCATTGGTTTAAATTAACCCAGTGCTTTCTGACACACAATGTATCTGTGCTTGCTTGAGTGTTTATACATCTTGAAAGAAGTAAAGTAGCTCGCTTCTAGTAAACATGGTCACTGTTTTCAGGAGATACATTCAACTGAGATCAAGCAAGGTAAAACACTAAAGCTAAATGTTAAACTGCAACACTGATAAAATATTTGGCACTTGCACAATAATTCCTGAAAAATAACTTAAAATCACTCAGAGAATGTTGGTAAAAATCAATTTCTGAAATGTTGTATGAGACTGGATGTGACACATGATCAGTGGGAAGGGCATAGAGGAGAAAGCGGGTGGAAAATGCAGCATATTTTGAGAAAGACTCCATGCAAATCATAAACCATATATTAATCAAAACAAAACTGGAAACTCTCAACATTCTCAAAGCCCCTTTGTCTCATTCATTGGATTTTTTAAAAAAATGTAGAATTAACAGATTCCATTGGTTAACATTTATGTTGGGATCATCCCATTTACTCAATTTCTACGACTTTACTTATAGAGGTCTGACTTCTGTTACTAATTCTACCTTTGAATCAACAGGATTTATCTATGTGTTGACTACAGTTCAAGAATTCATTGAGCAGATACACTCTATTTGGGACTATCCAACAAGAATTCTGCCATTACCAACATTGATGACAGATAGACCTTGACAAAAGCTTGTTTGGACATTGTACAGTATTTTTATCTATTAAAGTTGTTACTTAGTCTTGACTTCTTTCAGTATGTTGAACAGATTTTTCCATTTCATAAAGTGTTTTGAAAGTCTGTTAGGAGACACTGATCACCTTCTAACTGTCTACTCTTTATGTCCCAAAGAACTCTTAAGTCAGTTATGTATTACAAAATGAAAATGTCAAAGCAAGTTGAGGAAAAACCACAAATCAATGTGATTGACAAAATGGAATGGCCCTGGATTATGTTTTGGATGGCGTGATTTTAATTGCTGTTTTAATAATTCATGTTTTAATATTCTGGTTTTAATTTTAATTGTTTATTTTATGTCATATGGCATCAAATTGCTGCCTGTTGTAAGGCTGCCTTGAGTCCCCTCTGGGATGAGAAAGGCGGAATATAAATATGGCTTATTATTATTATTATTATTATTATTACTGTATGTGGGTCATTTTTAAATTTAAAAATGGCTCCACCTTACAAAATAACCACGTGCCCCCAAGGCCATATCTATATTGCCATATAATGTGGTTTGAAGCTGCATTATATGGTCATTGTAGACTCATATAATGCAATTTAACTGCACTGGGCTGCATCATGAGTCTACACTGACCATATGATGCAGTTTCAAACTGCACTACATGGCAGTGTAAAAGGGGGGAGGGGCAATGCACTTGAAACTACATTGTATGGTCAGTGTAGACTCAGGTCCCTTCTACATTGCCATAAAACAGATTATCAACGAAAACCATCCACATTATGTTTTGAACTGTATTATAGGAATCTACACTGCCACATAATCCAGTTCAAAGCAAATAATCTGGATTTAAGGTACTGTTATATTATCTGGGAAGAGGCTAAAAGGGGGCGCTAGAAAGAGAATAGTCTTGGGGAAGGGTTGAAGGAGTAAAATAATTTCCCCCTGCTTTCTTATTATCCCCCCCCCCCCATTTCACCCTGGAGGAAACAACCCTTGTTTATGAAATGGGAACTGGGGAGGGAGAATAATTAGCAAAATTGGGGAAAATTGTTTTTCTCCATCAACTCCCCCTCCTGTAGAATGGACTATCCTCTATCTAGTGCCTCCTTTTGGCCTGTGACCAGATAAATTAAATTTTATATGGCAGTCTAGAATGGGCCTCCTGCATTGGACTGCATCACAAGTCTACACTGGCCATATGATTATATGGCAGTGTAAAAGGGGCCCCATATAATACAGTTCAAACTGCATTATATGGCATTGTAACATACTCTTAGCTGCCCAAGGGTCGCCATAAATCACAAATGACTGGAACGCACAGAACAAAAAAAGCATACAGTCTAACTACCTAAACTGGGCTCTACAGGCCAATGGGTACTCCACCAAAGACATCAGAAGAGCTGCAAGACCGAGGACAAGCCACGAGAGTAAAGACAAAGATCCACCCAGAAGAAAAGTGTTCTTGCCATACATCAAGGGAACCACTGACTGCATTGGGAAGCTGATGAGGAAACACAACATACAAACTATCTACAGACCCACCAAGAAAGTCCAACAAATGCTACGGTCAGCAAAGCAAATAGTATATGGTAGACCTCTGCAGGAGTCGACCCTGTACCATGTAGCTGTGGACAAGTCTACATAGGGACCACCAAATGTCGCATTGCCCAAACACGAATCAAGGAACACAAAAGGCACTGCAGACTACTTCAACCAGAGAAGTCAGCCATAGCAGAGCACCCGATGAACCAACCTGGACACAGCATATTATTTGAGAACACAGAAATGCTTGACCACTCTGACAACCACCATGTCATACTAGACAGAGAAGCCATTGAAATCCAAAAGCATGTAGACAATTTCAACAGAAAGGAGGAAACTATGAAAATGAACAAAATCTAGCTACCAGTATTTAAAAAAGCTCTAAAATCAGGACAGTAAATAAACAGTAACCCTCAAATAAAACATGGGAATTCTAGACAAGAATCAATCAGGGCCAGCTAACACCTCCCAACAAAGGATTCCCTTAGACAAGAATCAGCCAGGCTTTGAAGCTGCAAGGTCATTCAGTGCTAATCAAGGTGGCCAACTGCAACATTCAGACCTACCTCAGACAAGAGTTCTTTCTCCCACCCTGGATATTCCACAAACATATAAACATCACCTGCCTAGTTTTCAACAGACCTCACAACCTCTGAGGATGCCTGCCATAGATGCAGGCGAAACGTCAGGAGAGAATGCTTCTGGAACATGGCCATACAGCCCGGAAAATTCACAGCAACCCATACATTCTATATCTTTCTAAAAAGTTTTTACGACTCTCAGTTTCGCAGGCCTATTTTATGGTGATGAACGCTATCCCCTTCCCTCAGAGAACAAAAACAAAGGAAGGCGGAGACAGCAGCAAAGGGAAGCGAGTCCAACCTGGCTGAGGCCTTTGTCAGGCCTGTGCTTTCCCGGAGGTCCTTTGTCGCCGTTGCTTAGCAACCCGCTGGGCTCCGCCTCCAGAGACGCTTCCCCGGCCCTTTCGACGCCGTCAGCGGGGGAACCTGTTTCCGGCCGGGCGAGTTTGAGCGACGCACCGCCTCGGCACTAGGCGGGAGGCTTCGCTTTCTTGGCACTCCGCGCTGCTTCGGGACTGGCCGTCATGCCGTAAGTACCGGAGCAGCCCAGGAGGCCGGGCGGGGAGGCCTGTCCCGCGTGTGCGAGGCGGGGCCTGCTGAAGTCTCAGCCCTTCCCTTCAGAGAATGATTAAGATTCAGACAGGCATGGGCTGAGCCAATGGTTTCAGCGTTTGCCTCAGACAGCTTGCATCCACATTGTAGTTCAGGCATGGGCAAATTTGGACCCTCCAAGTGTTTTGGACTTCAACTCCCACCATTCCTAACAGCCTCAGGCTCCTTCCTTTTCCCCCTCGGCCGAAAAGGAAAGGGCCTGAGGATGTTAGGAATGGTGGGAGTTGAAGTCCAAAACACTTGGAGGGCCCAAGTTTGCCCATGCTTGGTGTGGAATGAATGCAATTTGATACCAATTTAGCAGCCACGGCTACCAGTGCTAGGGACTCACGGGAGCTATATTTTTGAGGGGAACCAGCACACTGGCAGAAAACCATGTAAAACGACTTTTAAAAACTTAGTATTGAACACTGACCTTAAGGTACAGTATGTGAAATTACTAAATAACCCGGTTTTCAGACAGAAGGAGGTGCGTTCCCAAGCATTTCCCGCAGAGAGCTGTTTTACATGTATATTTACTTGCCTGTTCCTCACCGAGTGCGGTGGGATTTACTTTCTAATGAGTGCGCCCCCTTCCACACAGTTGAATAATATCCCACATTGTCTGCTTTGCACTGGAATATATCACAGTATAATAATAATAATAAACTTTATTTATACCCCGCCACCATCTCCCCAATGGGGACTCAGAGCGGCTTACATGGGGCCAAGCCCAAACAAGAATTACAATATAACAATACAAATTGCAATAAAATAAACAACATAACATTAAAATATAAAACATCAAAGCATATAAAACAATATACACAGAACATAGGAACTAAACATAATAACAGAATGACCGAGGGCAGGCCACATGTACATAAAATGATTTAAAAACTCAGGGTGAGATAAGGGGGCAGAACTAATTGTAAGGGAGAACTCATAGAGAGATAGGAAAATTAGCAAACCTTCGTACATGGGGAGCAGGGACTCCTGGGACAAGAACGTTGGAGGAGCACTGGCATAAAATTTTGTGGCTACTCTCCGAAAGCGCAACGGCAGAGCCAGGTCTTGAGACTCTTTTTAAAGGTTTCCAAGGTAGGGGCTCTCCGGGCAATGAATTCCAGAGTCGGGGGGGGGGGGGGGGGGTGCCACAGAGGAGAAGGCTCTCTCCCTTGTACCCACAAGGTAAGGGCGAAAGGAGGGGCTCGCCTGAAGATCGAAGTATGGACTCAGGGCACTTCCACACAGCCATATAGCCCAGAATATCAAGGCACAAAATCCCACAATATATGCATTGAACTGGGACCCCTTCCACACAGCTGAATAAAGTCCCACATTATCTGCTTTGCACTGGAATTATCGCAGTGTGGACTCAGGGCCCTTCCACACAGCCATATAGCCCAGAATATCAAAGCAGAAAACCCCCTAATATCTGCATTGAACTGGGGCCCCTTCTACACAGCTGAATAAAATCCCACATTATATGCTTTGAACTGTAATATATCTCAGTGTGGACTCAGGTCCTTCCACACAGCCATATAGCCCAGAATATCAAAGCAGAAAATCCCATAATATCTGCATTGAACTGGGGCCCCTTCTACACAGCTGAATAAAATCCCACATTATATGCTTTGAACTGTAATATATCTCAGTGTGGACTCAGGTCCTTCCACACAGCCATATAGCCCAGAATTTCAAGGCAGAAAATCCCACAATATCGGCATTGAACTGGGACCCCTTCTACACAGCTGAATAAAATCCCACATTTTCTGCTTTGAAATAGGATGTATGGCAGTGTGGACTCAGATAACCCAGTTCAAAGCAGATATTTTGGGATTCTCTGCCTTGATATTCTGGGATATAGGGCTATGTGAAAGGGCCCTCTGTTTGCAGGTCATATTTGAAATACATTGACCCTCTCCCACCACCTTTTTATTTTGGGTGTCCCTAAACAATGTCTACACCCAGTGGTTCACAGCCTTTTTTGGCTATGACCACCTAAGCATCTCTAAAACCCTGATTTCCTCCCCCCCCCCACACACATATAATTATTATTATTCAAAAAATGCCTCCCAAATGAACTATTAGGAGGGAGCCTAAAAAGCCATAAARGTGGTCTAAACAAGCTTCCAAAGAACATGGCATCTATGAAAGAGAAAAATGAAAGAACAAAAACACAGTTGAAGTACTGAGGAAATAAATCACCAAGAAATTGTTTTTCATAGCTATTTGTTATCATAACTATTAAAATGTTTAAAAGCAATGCTTTTGGATTTGGAAAGATTTCGTCGTTTACAAGAAACGTTGGCCAGGAGATGCCCAACTGTATTTACTCAGTCTTCGAGGAGGCTCTTTCCATGTCCCCCATTACTATTAATATAGAAGGTTTGTCGCTTGCTAAGGAAGAACTACTGGCCAAAATGTCTGAGGACATTTCATGTAACATCTTATGTATACAGGAAAGACACAGAGACATCACAATGAGAAGACCAAAAATCCTCGGAATGCAACTGGCAGTGGAACGATCTCACAGACAATATGGTAGTGCCCTTTTTGTACGATCTGGTATAGCAATCTCTGCAACCTCTCTCACAGAAGGGAACAACATTGAAATCTTATCTGTGGAACTTGATAACTGCAGTGTATCATCACTCTATAAACCACCTGGGGTTGATTTCTATTTTACGCCCCCAACCAATTGCCACAACCATCAAGCCAATTTTATTGTGGGAGATTTCAGTAGCCATAGCTGTGTCTGGGGCTATGATGATGATAGGAATGGTGAAGCAGTTCTAATGTAGGCCGACAATAGTAAAATCAGCCTCCTCCATGACAGTAAATTACTGCCATCATTTAATAGTGACCGATGGAAGTGTGGTTATAACCCTGATCTGATTTTTGTAAGTGACAGCATAGTCCACCATTGCATTAAAAGGGTATTAAACCCAATACCTAATACTCAACACAGACTAATATGCTGCCAAACATATGCAACTGTAAGACCACAAAATGTCCCTTTCTGCAGAAGATATAATTTCAATAAAGCTAACTGGACAAAGTTTACAGAGAACTTGGAAGCAGCTATTTCTGATATAGAACCATCTATAGAAGACTATGCTCTTTTTTGTAGAAGCTGTGAAAAGATCTTCAAGGCTCTCAATCCCTAGAGGCGGCTATACAAGCTACCTACCAGGCCTAAACAAAGAATCGCAAAACCAGCTACAGGAATATCTCAGACTATTTCAAGAAAATCCATACAGCAATGAGACTACAGCAGCAGGCCAGAAATTATCTACAGCCATAGCTAAAACTAAAAAAGACCGCAGGATAGAACTACTTGAGAATCTTCACATCTCTAAGAGTAGCTGAAGAGCCTGGCAATTGCTGAAGCACCTGGATAGTGACCTTCTGGTCAATTGTGGACATGTAAATGTAACACCAGACCAGATAGCACACCGGCTAATTCAGAATGGGAAAACCAACTGCAGGAAAGTAAATGTGAAAATCAACAGGGTGCCAGAAATTGAAACCCACCAGTTGACATCCCCCATAAACCTGAAAGAACTTAGAAGCTATTAAGCAATGTAAAACTGGTAAAGCACCTGGCCTAGATGACTTAATGAGGGAGCAAATCAAACACTTTGGGCCCAAAGCTGAAAACAGGCTTTTGAAATTTTATGATCAATGGCACACAAACAGATTCCCAGACTATGGAGGAAAACTAAGACCATTGCCATTTTAAAACCTGGCAAAGACGCCTCCAATGCCAGGAACTACCGGCCTATCTCACTGCTATGTCATCTATATAAAGTATATGAGAGGATACTACTAAATTGATTAGGACCTGTAATTGAACCCCAGCTTATTGCACAACAAGCAGGTTTCAGACCAGGGGAAAACTGCACAGCCCAAATTCTTAATCTGATCGAGTACATCGAGGAAGGATATGAGAAAGGTTGCATTACTGGAACAATTTTTATTGACCTTACAGCAGCCTACGACACGGTGCAACATAGGAAAACACTGCAGAAAGTCTACCATATTACCCGAGACTATGATTTCACAAAAACTATCCAGACTCTCCTAGAAAACCGTAGCTTCTATGTGAAGTTTCAGGGCAGCAAAAGTAGATGGAGGAGGCAAAAGAATGGCTTAACCCAAGGCAGCGTTCTTGCACCGACCTTGTTTAATATCTTTACAAATCAGCCACAACCACCACTCACAAAGACCTTTCTATATGCTGATGACCTGATGAACAACACAAGCAAAAGACTTTGTAGCAGTGGAAATCCAACTTACTAATGCCTTGAAAGATCTCTCCAGCTGCTACAAAGATAACCACCTGAAGCCTAACCCTGCCAAAACAAAAGTATGTGCTTTCCATATACGCAATTGTGAAGCCAACAGGAAATTGAAAGTCACCTGGGAAGGTCAAGAACTTGAACATTGTTTCCATCCTAAATATCTCGGTGTCACCTTAGATCGAACACTACATATAGGAAACATGGCTTGAATACCAAGCACAAAGTAGCTGCACACAGTAACATCCTGCGGAAACTTACTGGCAGCACATGGGGTGCAGACCCAAAATTAGTAAGAACATCAGCCCTAGCCTTGTCTTACTCAACTGCTGAGTATGCCTGCCCTGTTTGGCATAGGTCTGCCCATGCAAAGCAGGTGAACATAGCATTGAATGAAACATGCAGAATAATCACAGGATGTCTTAAACCTACACCTGTTGATAAACTCTACAAGCTAGCTGGCATTGCCCCCCCCCCCCCCCCGATGTGCGACAGGAAGTTGCTGCTAAATGTGAGAGAAATAAGGTTGAACACTGTGAAAGCCGCCCGCTACATGGTTACCAGCCTCCTCCCAATAGACTCGAATCAAGAAAAAGCTTTATGACAACTACCACTCCTCTTGGCGTCCCTC